ATAACAAACAGGTCTATACTTACCTGCTGTGTGCAGTTGTTTTGCACAAAGCAGCTTGGATCCTCTTCTCGGGTCCCCTGGCTCCTTCTGTCTGTCGGGTGCCCTCACAGCAAGCAGCTTGCGATGGGGGCACCCACAGCTCTGTGTGTCCATTCACACACGGAGCCGTGGCTTGGCCCCACTATCTCTCTCTCCTTATTGGCTGACTGGCTGTGACTGACAGCAGCGGGAGCTAATGGCTCCTGCTTGCTGTCTCAGCCAATGGCTCCCGCTTGCTGTCTCAGCCAATGAGGAGGCAGAGACCCAGGACAGCCTAGGCTTTCACGCACATCGCTGGATCTCGATGGGGCTCAAGTAAGTATTGAGGGGGCTGGGGGGGCTGCTGCACACAGAAGGTTTTTTACCTTCATGCATAGAACAACCTTTACAACCACTTTAACAGTGTAGAAGTATGCCCATGGATTACAAAGTGTTGCTGTGCAAGTTGCTCGCTTCTAAGTCTGGAGTACTGGCTTAATGTTGAATTCACATGACCGCAGCTCCTGCCTACAGGATTTAGCAAGTGCTATTCCCCAGTGTCTCCACTAGGGCACTCTAAGCCCCACCCACAGAGTGGCAATGTGGGAGCACAAGTGGGAGTCAGTGGTCACTCCATGACAGTAATTGCTTGACCTTCATGACAAGATCACCAGGTATTGTTTCAATGTATTCCAGGTACAGATAGTTTATACATAGTTTGGAGCAATGTAACTAAGTACTGTATATACCGTACCTGGCCTTCCTGCCCCTGGAAGCTGGAAATTACTAAAGTAGACACCACTACCCAAGTGATCTCCACTTGCTTCCCAGTTCTGAGCCGAGTGGCTGCACTTTGGCTTAATGAACATAGAAGGTTGGCGGTTCGGCACGGACGCCATTCAGAGAATGTTTCACATTTTCTCAATGAATGCAAAGCGCTCTCTGATGCTTGCAGTAGGCTTCCAGCAGAGGTATTGGGTCAGTCAACAGTAAGTGGATTCAAGCATGGTTGGAAATTTTTTTTTTTTTCACAAAACTCGACTCAATGGACTACTTGGTCTTTTATCTACTGTCACTCTTCTGTGTTCATATAATGGGACAAGGTAGAGAGACGGGGTGGTGACATCATGCTCTCCAGCTCGTCCAATCAGAAAATGATTTGCATTCATTTAGAAAATACACAGCATTCTCTGCAGGGCAACTGCTTGGTGAGGGTCCTGGGAGCTACGTCTACGTCAGCGATTTCCAGCTTCCAGGGGCATCATCCAGGTATGGGATATACTTAGTTACATTGGTCCAAGCTGATGTATAAAATATCCATACCTGGAATTCTTCTTTAAAAAAGATTCAAAATTATTTTTTAAATTACATTTACATGTTTCAGCTTTTGTGATATTTCATTGATTGGGTTCAGCTGACCTCCGGAAGATTTACCCCCCTTCCTGACCAGGCCCTTTATTTGCGATACAGCGCTGCATTACTTTAACTGACAATTGCGCGGTCATGCAACGCTGTACATAAATAAAATTTGTGTCAATCTTTTCCCCACAAATATAGCTTTCTTTTGGTGGTATTTGATTACCTCTGCATTTTTTACATTTTGAATTAAAATCTAAAAAATTTCAATAATTTTGAAAAAAAAAAAACAATATTTTTTATTTTCTGCTATAAACATATCCAAGAAAAACATTTTAAAAAGCAAATTTATTCATAAATTTAGGCCAAAATGTATTCTACTATATATTTTTGGTAAAAAAATTCCAATAAGCAAATATTGATTGATTGAAATATTGATTGAAATATTGTACGCAGAAGTTATAGTGTCTACAAACTACGAGACATACTTTATACTGGAATTTTTTAATTAATTTTTTTTGTACTGCTAATGGCGGTGATCTTATAGTCGGACTTTGATATTGCAGTGGACATTTTTACAATAACTGGCACTTTATGGTAACAAGTGACACTAATACAGTGATCAGTGCTAAAAATATGCACTGACACTGTACTAATGACACTGGCTGGGAAGGGGTTACATAGTTAGTCTGATTGAAAAAAGACAAAAGTCCATCCAATTCAACCATTAAAAAAAAAAAATTATAATCCTATACCCACAGTTGATCCAGAGGAAGGCAAAAAAACACAGCAAAGCATGATCCAATTTGCTCCTGCAGGGAAAACAATTCCTTCCTGATCCCCGGAGAGGCAATCGGATATTCCCTGGATCAACTTTACCTATAAACGTTAGTATCCAGTTATATTCTGTGTATCTAGGAAAGAATCCAGTCCTTTTTAAAGCAATCCACTGAGCTGGCCAGAAAAAAACTCTTGAGGGAGTCTATTCCACATTTTCACAGCTCTCACTGTGAAGATACCTTTCCGTGTTTGGAGATTACATTTCTTTTCCTCCAGATGTAAAGAGTGCCCCCTTGGCACTGTGATGACCTCTAAACATCTGAGTTGATCAAAGGGTTAACTGTGTACCTAGCTATGTGCTTGGTGTACACTAGGTGGTGCTTTTACTAGGGGAAGTGAAGGACCGTGTTCACAGCTTTGCAGGGACATACAATCCTTCCCCCAGTCAGAACAGAGCTCTACCTTGTTTACATAGGCAAAGCTCTGTTCTGTGTCCTGCCGGATGATTGGCGAGTGCTGGCGGATATCCGTTCACCGCTACTCGCAGATTGGCTTCTGCTGTGAGTGTTCACAGCAGAAGAAATCCGTTGGCAGCACATGCACACTTCCTAATGGCGGAAGTGCAAAATCACATACTGTATATATGTGATTTTGCACAGGAGAGCCGCCCTGTAGCAGTAAAATTGCTTTAGGCCGGACTTTAAGCGGTTGACATCTATTACCAAATATGTAAATATATATAATGATTCTTGTACATAACCTCTTTTGTAGCTTCTTACTAATGAAATTTGAATAAATATTGTAATGTTTTTGCACAAAAGCAGTGAAACCGGCAACACAATTCTTTTCCGACATGAACAAAATATTACAAATTCCGAGCATATCACCATTGTTCTTTCAGGCTATGTCCAATTTGCTGCACCGTTCAGAAATTTAATATTCTGCACAAGAAATTGCATTCTCCACCTTGGAATAAATAGGAAGGTTTAACTAAGGATCTTTTAATTCACAGAATGACAGCCTTGGGCCACAAAGAACCTTTTATCCCTTTGAATGTTAAAAAAAAGCAGAAGAGAGAAATATTGATCTCTTAAATAAGATTAAACAGTACACGCAGGTGCAGCTTTAGAACCAAACATGTTCGAATCAGTGAGATATGGGTTTACTCTGCCACGAAATTTTACTGTGTTCTTTTGGATTTAATCCCAATTGCTAACGGAATAAGTAATTGCTTGCAAATTGAACACTAACAGCTAATGGTTTTGATGTTTTTTGTGCAGGTCAGATGCAGAAACATGGCACTGTTTCATTTTAGTTGAGCTTTGAAGAAATCTACTCTTTTTTTTAAAAAAACATGTTTAATTCAGCAGGTTTTAATTATAGGAGGAATACTTTGTTTATTTAAAGGAAAAATTCAGCCAGGATAAACATCATCCGTAATCAAGCATAATAGATTATGTGTAGGGATGCGCTTAAAGTGACACTAAACGATATCCTTTTTTTCCAAAAATAAATCGTATACATCCACTACTTAATGGGGCCATGACCTATTGTTCATGAGGTTGTTGGTTACTGTATCTTTTGCCTCCTTATACTGTCCTCCATGAGCTCCCAAACTTCTCCTTTTCCAACAGTGTTCGGTTTGTTTGGAACAAGCATTGTATGTTAGTTGCAGTCATGTGAACTACTCTATTCACACTAAAAATCAATAGTCCCTAGTCCATATCGAGAGCGGGCATTCAATCAGACCATGGAAACAAATGTAGCCACCCTCCATCAGGAAGTCATGTCACAGCCAGGGGCGGACTGACAACTCATGGGGCCCCCCGGGCAATAGGGGATATGGGGCCCCTGTGTCCTTGCCCACACTCAAAAAAGCCTATAAAAAAGGTACCAGGGGCATTTCATGGGGCCCCCTACTGACCCCGGGCCCTCGGGCAGTGCCCGAGTGCTCGAATGGTCAGTCCGCCCCTGATCACAGCCACAAAAAACAAAGGAATTTGGAGGAGGCTGAGAGCAGTAGAAACTACTTTTTTAACCACTTGAGCTCCAGAAGATTTTACACCCTTCATGACCAGGCCCTATTTTGCTATTCAACATTGCACTACTTTAATTGATAATTGCACGGTCATGCAACACTGTAACCACATAAAATTTATATCATATTTTTTAACACGTATAGAGCGTTTTTAGTGGCATTTGATCACCACTGTTTTTTTTTTTATTATTATTATTATATACATGAAAAATAAATATAAACAATATTTTTTTACTTTCTCCTATAATACATATCCAATAAACAAATTGAAAAAAATCTAAATTCTTCATAAATTTAGGTAAAATGTATTCTGCTACATGTGTTTGGTAAAAAAAAAACCCAATTAGTGTATATTAATTGATTTGCGTAAAAGTTATAAAGTCAACAAACTATGGAATAAATAGTGGAATTTCCATTCATGTATTTTTTTTATACTAGTAATGGCGGCGATCGATGATTTATATTGGCACTATGATAGTGTGGTGAGTAATCTGACACTAACTGATGCTAACATCAAGGGGAAATCAAGGGGTTAATTGTGTGCCTAACAAGTGTTTATGTGTGTACTGTGTGCTGCCTTTTTACTACAGTTCAATTTGTTTCTTTTCCATGCTTAGCAGAGAAAAAACAAAGTGATCTTTCCCTCTGTATAGAGCTCTGTGTTGTTTATTCGACACAGCCGATCAGCAGAACCCGGCCATGAATTGTTGGGTGGGATCTGTTGATGAAATCAAAATGGAAGTAGGCGGGCAGGGGCACGCATGGCCTGAAACCTGTAAAAAGGCAGCGACATACCAGTATGCAACTCATGGGGCTCTCGGGCAATAGGGGATCATGGGGCCCCTGTGTCCTTGCCCAAACTCAAAAAAGCCTACGAAAAAGGTACCAGGGGCATCTCATGGGGCCCCCTACTGACCCCGGGCCCTCAGGCAGTGCCTGAGTTTCCAAATGGTCAGTCTGCCCCTGCCAGTATGTCGGTGTACCTGTAGCTGCCGCCCTGCCGCAGTATATGAATTGTGGCGGGTCGACAAACAGTTATGTTAAAGTGATACTAAACCCAGGACCCTGCATTCATTATATCTGGTCCCCCACAGTACACATAACATGGAAATACAATTATTTTAGTGAATAAAAACTGCTAAATACCTTTTCTCTTCAGCAGTTAGAGCAGTCTTGTGACTTCAGCAGAGCACTGGTTAAAGCTTGTAGGAGGAGTTTTATTTCTGCTCTAGGGGGATGTGAAACCTCTGTCCTCTGTCTGGACAGTGCTGGTTAGCCCTGTGCTGGTCACATGCACTCTCCTAATTAAAAAAAAAAAAAACCTCTCTAGCAATACACACCAAATGTGACCACAGATTCAATCTGCATCAGGTGGCCATTTGAACAAGAGGAGGGGCAGAGAAGAAAGGATCAAACAGCCTTTGTATACAATGCAGAGGATTAACCCCTTAGGTTTCACAGCAAGTATAACAAACATGCTTTACTGCATATACAGACTGATTTTACTGTTGTGGGTTTAGTAACACTATAAGAATACATAGTTAAGTAGATTTTTTTCTTTTTAAACCCGTTTAGGGTCATTTTAAGGTTTTGAACAAACCTTGGCTGTTTGGGCATTGGGATGACTACCCGAATGCTTACTCATCTGGCTGGGATGGCTCACCCTCATGGCTGGGAATCCCTCACCCTCAGGATGGGGGGAAGAAGTAACTTGTCAGGGAAGACTCCCCTGGTAAAGAACCTTGTACCTAGGTTGAACAACGGCCTCTTCCCCACAACACTGGCAAAGGGGTTGTGGGGCAAACAGACAAACAAGGGCGCACAGGCCTAGTGCATTTCCTTTAAAAATTGGTTTATTGTATAAAAAGTGATATACTCACACAGGAATAAAAGTCAAAGGCACATCATAAGAAATACAGCAAGGTCCAATCTCCCTGGAAAGTGTCCTGTTGGGGATTATAGACCTCCAAATGGCTGACGCGTTTCGAGGTAATGCCTCTTCCTCAGAGCCGATACCAACACAGTCTGTGTTCTCTCTTAAATGCACTATTTCTAAGGGGTGGATGCTAAGCTACCCCACCCATAGGCGGGGATGGCAGATATGTTAATTTTTGTTTAGGGTGGGGCCTAAGAGCCCACAAATGTACATAGTTTGCAGAAATCATGGGTTGATTAGTATAATACAGTATATTATAATATACAGGACAATGCATACAAGAGTGATAACCATATGGTCAGACTCCAAAAGTGTATATTTTTTTATCAGTATTGTTGAAACCATGTTAAAGGGTTTGTGGGGTCTGCGGAGATAGGGGGCCTTTATCAGAATCTGAAAGCCCCCTATTAACAATAAGCGGGCCCCCAGATACTGCCTCCCTTCCCGTGAATGAGTAAGGGGTTTATAACAAACCGTTTGTATATCAGTAACATTGCTGTTTGGTCTATTAGACTCACCTTTTGGGGATACAAGGAGAACATCTGCAACATCTGATGGTGTAGATCATAAGGGAATTGCTATGATTACATGTCTGTAGAATAAGAAGATTCACTTTAACCACTTGCTGACCAGCAATGTACAGGTATGTTGCTGGATTGGAAGAGTAATATCTTGGTCATCACTGCAGCTGCAGCAATAATCAATATATCATTTTCTTCTGCTGGAAATTCCCTTCACTGTAAAAGTAATCCTAGGGGCTAAGAAGCTGCTGGATTACTTTTACAAGTGGCAGAAGGGGGTCCCACCCCCTCCTGCCACTGCCTTTACCTCTCCCGAGTGATTGGGGGGGGGCCATGTAAGGATGCCATTCTTGGTACACATACTAGGGCCATTTTAGACAGAAGCCACTTAACCAGCATGTCTTGAGAGTGTTGGAGGAAATCAGAGTATTTGGAAGAAATCCAAGCACTTGAAATACCTATGCTTAGTTATTTTTTTTTAATCTGTACAATGGACAGTACTTACATTAAATGAAAGGTGTCCCTTGTGTTGGTGTCTGCTCACTTAGTTGAAATTTGGAGTCTGCTGTCCCAGCACCCCCACAACGGTAATCTTCCATTGCTGTGGGGATTAATAGGAGCTGCTGGACCTGTCATAAGCACTCGTCAAGAGTGCCAACTATGCCCTCCCTCCTCCATTCATAGAAGTTGTACTATAGCTTCCAGCAGTGAAAAGCACAGGCGGACACAGTTGGCACTCCATGACAGGTCCAGTGCCTTCTGTTAACCCTTCAGCACTGGAAGATTGCGGATGGCGGTTAGAGGATTAAAGATTTCAAGAGACCAGCCACCAGCACAAGAGAAATTTTGCATTGAATGTAAGCACGGGCTCTTGTGCTAATTAAAAAAAAAACTAACTTTTGATTTAAAGCAGAGCCTAACCCCCTCTTCCAGGTCCCCCCCCCCCCTCCTCCTGCTCCACCATTATGGAATGTATACAGATACGCCCTTACTAGCTGTGCTGGCAGAGGCCTTCGGCACATATGCACATGTACAGGGTATTTTCCATTCATGCGCAAAGGAGTTTTATGATTTCCGTTCTATCCATCTTTGCACATTTGCAGGGAAACCCACTTGAACCCAGATGTGCCACAGGGCTTTCAGGCAAATTATACACAGGTACAGAATCCAGGAGGGGGTAGGGGGAGGGTCCAGACATCATTCTCGCCAAGGTGTGAACTGCAGAACTTCTGCCTTGCATCACAGTAAGTATGCATTCACACCTGCAAATACACCCAACTCCAATCACATATTGGAGAATCCCAGCAGGGGTCACGGCGATTAGCTGCGGGAGTCAGACCCACTGAAAGCAATAGAATGCTACCAGTTCCCACAGCTGATTGTGGCCACTCATACAAGTGATCACTGAATGAGCAATTATATGTGAATGGCCATAATTACTTGCCAGAGCAAGCAGTCTCCAACAATCACTTGTCATTAAACAGCCCTGAATGCAGACTGTCTGCATGAGCGATTACATGCGAGTATCTGCAATTAACTATGGGAGCCAGCAGCATTCCATTGCTTTCAATGGGGCTGCCTCCCGCAGCTAATCTCCGGGAACCCCACTGGCTTTCTTACATGTGATCGAAGTCAGGCGCATTCGCAGGTTAAAAATGTTAAAAAAAAAAAATTAAAGATAAGGAGGGGGAAGGTGGCAAGGCAAAAAAAAAAGATTGGCTTTAGAGTGAAGCTCTGCTTTAAGGCCCCATTCACACCTAAGCATATTGAACGCGCAACGTGCATTTGGATGCCATTATTTCTTAATGGCACCCCAAATTGGCTAAGAAAGCAGGCATTTTGTCACGTAAAATACACTTAAAAATGCATGGTTTAAACTTTGCCAAAGTCAGTTCCAATAAAAGGTATAGGAGCTACCTTTGGTGCATTTCTGGAGCTAACGGCAGCCCATTCAAATGAATAGTGCTGCTCAAAAGAAGCACAAAAAACCACTAAGAGAACAGATGTTTTGTCACGTGAAAAACGCGCAAAAACGTATGGTTTAAAATTTGCCAAAGTCAGTTCCAATAAAAAGGTACATGAGCTACTTTTGGCGCATTTTTGGAGCCAAGGGCAGCCCATTCAAATGAATAGTGCTGCTAAAAAAACAATAATGCAAAAAAAATGCGCTAAGAAAACAGGCATTTTGTCACATTAAAAACATGCAAAAACGGATGGTTTAAAATTTGCCAAAGTCAGTTCCAATAAAGGGTACAGGAGTTACTTTGGCCCATTTTTGGAGCCAAGGGCAGCCCATTTAAATGAGTAGTGCTGCTAAAAAAAAAAAAACCTGCAAAAAAGTACGCTAAGAAAGCAGGTGTTTTGTCACGTGAAAAACATGCAAAAACACTTGGTTCAAAATTTGCCAAAGTCACTTCCAATAAAAGGTACAGTAGCTACTTTGGCGCATTTTCTGAGCCAAGGGCAGCCCATTCAAATGAATAGTGCTGCTAAAAAAACAAAAATTCAAAAATAATGCGCTTAGAAAGCAGGTGTTTTCTCACGTGAAAAACACGCAAAAATGTATGATTTAAAATTTGCCAAAGTCAATTCCAATAAAGGGTACAGGAGCTACTTTGGCGCATTTTTGGAGCCAAGGGCAGCCCATTCAAATTTATAGTTCATAAAAAAGCATTAAAAAATGCATATGCGTGAAAAATATGACGCTGGAGCATTGCTAAATGTGAATGGAGCCAAATGTGACTGGTGGGTGGAGCTTAAATATCATACTTCCAAAATATCCAGCATCCTGCATGATAGCAAGTGCCATGTCTTTTGCTCTACCCTATCTCTTTACAGCACTCTATGCCCAGCTAACAAGTCCACTTGCAGGACTCCATGCGATGTCTCTATCCATGACTAGTCCCTGTGAAGTCATTCACTCCCATGTATTTCATTATACAGCGACTGCCTATCTACACGGACACCTTTCAGTCTGAACTGCACACGGGGCTTAGAAAAGGCACGCTTGCTCTGTACCAAATTTGTGTAGCACCATCAAACATTCGAATTTGATTAAACGGGAGAAAAAAAAAAAAAAAAAAAACCTAATCTTAAATATCTCCCAACTGAAGCGTGCACATTGCAATTCACAGCCTGCATGATGCTTTCCATGCAATCATCTGTCAGAATATTTATTCCGACCAGGAGACTCGAGAGAATATGGAGCAGAATAAAAATGGATGTATTAAATTTTTCACTCAGGTGCCCAGTTTTGATATTTGTAGGGAGTTTAAGCTGCAGGCAATATAACTACCTGAACAGCGGTTCATGAATAAAAACACAACTAATATAGAAAAACTGGGGAAAAAAAAACCTGTCTTTTCCTGTGCACATAAAGTAGGCGAGTATAAAATATGTAACCCTTCCCGCATGTTTCTGGCTTGTCATTATTTCCACTGATCTGAAGTAACCTTGATAAACATGGTTGGCGCGT